TTTTTTCTAAATAAAACAATAAACAAAAAAAAATTTTTTATATTCTATATTTAAATATATTAAAGTACATCATCATTAAAATCTATGTCTCAAATTACCACTTATTCTTAGAACCAGGTATGGGATTGGATAAATTAAAGAAAGATGATATTAAAAAATTGTTGGATCAAAGAGACCTAAATTATGATGAAAAAAATAATCAATCAGATTCAGTTGTACTTTTAAGAACAAACATTGAATTTGAAACAGATAATAAAATAGAAGGTAATAATTATTTTTCGCAACACCTAAAAACTTGGCTAATTATATGTTTTTATTATCTAGAAGCAAAGAAAAGAATGGACTTAGATGTAATAATGGATGATAAAGATGATATGGATAATTTACAATCAAGAAAAAAAAAAAGAACTTATCTATTATAGAAGAACAATTTGATAATGCTGAAAAACATATAATAACAAGGTATTTGATAAAATTCTTGTTTATGTGTCCATTTATTTATATAGAAATTACTTCCCACTTGCTGGGCTTTGAAAGAAAATCAGGAACTTGGAAAGAAAGGTGGTGAAAAACATATGTCTGATAAAGTAGTTGAGTTATTAAAAATCTTTTTTCACACAGGCGATGCATGTAAAAGTGAATGATATACACCTAAAGAAATGCTTGAAGAATTGAAAAAAAACATGGAAATAGGTGAGTTGGAAGTAATTGACATTGCCAAAATTAAGTACAATTGAAAATTGGATTAGTAGGTATTCCAGACAGCACAAGCTAGCAATTGCTAAAAAACGAATAAAATAACTAAATAAATAGTTTTTATTACTTTCCTCAAGTAATTCATAATAAGTGAATTTATTTTAATAGTATGTTTGTGCTTTAGTAGTAAAAATAAACGTATCCCTTAAATGGTTTTTCGGCTATTGATAGCCGAAATTTTTTTTCTGTTATAAAAAACTTTTTCTAAAGGTATTACTTCCTAATACGAAAATGATCTCTGAGATTCAGCTGATTGATCTGTGAATAAAAATTCGGTTGTTTTCCTTGTGGTTTTCGTAAAATCTTCCTTAAAAGTTGGTCGATTGACTATTTTTGCTTTGCAGATCGTTAAATTGGCCAATAAGAATGCAAGATCGTTAGGGATGGGGACGGTTTATGTCACGTCCGGCGACGAATAATATTTTTATAATTGATCCGTGACGATTAATTACTAAATTATTAGTGACAATTAATTTGTCTTGTTTTGGCAATATAAATGTCACTTATAATTTAGTAATTAATCGTCACGGATCAATTATAAAAATAATATTCGTCGCCGGACGTGACATAAACCGTCCCATCCCTAGTAACCTACTATACTATGATCGGCATGGTCATACTTTGTTCATATGACTCACATATAAGTGATCATGGGAAGTCCCATTCATTTTATTTTCAAAAATCAAATATAATAGTAAAAACCTCAAAGTTTCATATACTTAAACTTCTTTGGGTGTTATTATGAAACATTTGTGTCTTCGCTTAGTAGTAAGTCATAAAAAAGTCACTAATTATGGTCCTTTTCCACCAATTATGGATTGCTTCAACCAACACTGTGTATCATTTAACCAGACTTTGTCTGAATGTAATGTGACCTTGTATCTATTTATTTTGTTATAACAGCAAGGTTTATTAACTATATGTTTTAAAATTTTACTTTGGCCTATGCTTTTTTATATAGAATTCACAATTATCACATTCAAAATCTAGATGCTTTGGTATGAACAATTACAAGAAAACAATCCAAATATTACTTTACTTCGAAGAATAGGTCATACATATCTGTTGCATGATGATAATGTTTCTTTGGAAAACTTTCCTCAACACAGTAATCTATCCGTTTTTGATAAAGAAAATAAAGAAAATCAAGGATTTTATTTATTAGCAAAAGTCGAAGGATTTCAGGCAGAAAATTGTACCAAAACCTGGGAAAAATGTATTTGTTTCTATGAGAACCAGAGCAGGAAAAACATTTTGTTATGCAGTATCAGCATTGATAAGATCTGGTCTAACAGTTGTATTATCTCCATTAAAGGCATTAATAGATGACCAATTGGTAATTATCTCTATTTAATAAGTATAGTAGACAACCTCAATAATATATATTAATTATTTTTTTTCCAATTAGATTGAATTTATAAACATAGGAATCCCATCTGCAAAATTATATAGATCTGAAAAGCAATCATTGACCTATCAAGAAAAAATTTTATCTGAAATTGATTCTGGATTAACTCACATTTTGATTGTCACTACTGAAAAATTTACTAATAATTTTACCTTTCAGAATATGTTAAAATCAATTAAAACTTCTAGAGGATTATCATTCATTGTGGATGAGGCCCATTGCATACTAAATTATGATGGATTCTGGTAAGTGTTTTTTATAAATAAAATTATAAATAAAAATATACTAATTAATTAATTTTATTTTCAGTGAAGGATATAATAATTTAGATTTAATTACAAGAGAATTTTCTGATTGTCCAATAATGCTATTATCTGCCACAGTTTCACCACATGATATAAATGCAATATGTAATAAAATAGGAATCAATGATGCAAATTTGTGTGTTGTTTGGGGAAGTAACATTAGGAGACAAGAAATATTTTACACTATACAACAAAAAAAATCAACATTTATCAATGACATTATTCATATTATTTCTTCATCCAATGATCAATTTATTATTTATGGACCAACTTATCATTAAACCATTCTTAGACCTCAATCCATTAGTATTCATTAAATAAAGGCACACTAATTGAGATTCACTGTGTAATATAAATTTAAATTATCAAATTAAAAATATAAATTTAATATGACGTTA